TAGCCCTTTCCCCCTGGTTACACCTGTGATCATGATATAGTGACCTACCAATAGATACATTTAGTTAAAGCCTGGTAGCCCTTTCCCCCTGGTTACACCTGTGATCATGATATAGTGACCTACTACTAGATATGTTTAGTTAAAGCCTGGTAGCCCTTTCCCCCTGGTTACACCTGTGATCATGATACAGTGACCTACCAATAGATACATTTAGTTAAAGCCTGGTAGCCCTTTCCCCCTGGTTACACCTGTGATCATGATATAGTGACCTACCAATAGATACATTTAGTTAAAGCCTGGTAGCCCTTTCCCCCCTGGTTACACCTGTGATCATGATATAGTGACCTACCAATAGATACATTTAGTTAAAGCCTGCTAGCCTTTTTCCCCTTGCTATATATATCTGTAGCCATGATAAACCAGTTTAAAAGGAGTTTCAAGCTTACATTTTGGGATCTTTAGTTTTTAACTTGAAGAATAAGTAGACTTGATTAAAGTTTGTTGTGTGTTTTGTCTGTCTTGTATTTATGTAACAAACATTAACGGTATTTTTCCTAACAAAAGTTGCCTTTGATCAGTTTTCATGACGGTTTCAGTTAGTTGTTCGAAACATGATTTTACTAAGCTGCTGTGAATGAAATATTTCAGAGGTTCATCACGTACTAATCAAGCCCAGCCTGTTGAACCCCTACCTCCTCCGTCAGAAGACTCTGGTGATTCGAGCTATTACGATGAGAGCAATCAAGCTGTAGACTGGACATACGATCCAAATGAGCCTCGTTACTGCATATGTAACCAAGTGTCTTATGGTGACATGGTTGCTTGTGATAACGAGGATGTAAGGATGATTATCTTATTTTTGGACTGCTTTATAATTGTTCTTGCAATTAATGCTTGGTTTACTTTAAGTGTTACTGGTGAGAGAACAGTTACTTTACATACAAACCTAGCAGTGTTAGTGCTTAGTTTACTTTAAAAGTTTGTGTTCACTCTAGTACACATTGGTTTTACAATTTCTGAAAATGATTACTTCTGGTGATAATATTCTTTACTTAGTGACTATGTGTGTATCACCATACAACATGGACAGTTAATGTTTCAAATCAAAATAATTATAGTGATATCAAAATAAAAACATTTTTAGTGTTAATGATAAAATTACCAGAATACAATACCTAAATTCCACAGACTACAGTTATAATTTTTGAAAAATGACTTAATTTGGGTATTGTATTCTGGTAGTTTTATTGTTAACTTTAGAAATAATTTAATGCTTGTAAACATTAATGTTAATTTAAAGACTTCAATAGGTTTTGATTTGAAACATTAGTCTTTAAATATTGTATTTTGTAACCCAAGTTTTTAAAAAAACCAAAAAAATAGATTTAAATTTAAAAACAAAATTTATATACTTTACATAAAGTACTTTTTTGGAAAGTAATACATTTTAGTTGCTTTCTGATTTTATTGTTTCATACTAAAGTGCTACTGGTGACAGAACACTTACTTTATACAACCTAGTAGTGTTAGTGCTTGATTTTCTCAGTTTCTTATAAAAAGGATTTGAATTTTTTTATATATATTAAAAGTATTCAAAGATAATTCCTTATCAAATGGTTTCAAATTCTTACAAAAGTTATAACTTAGAAGCTTTCCACAAGATGGCAGTAGTGTTTCAGCATGATTATTCATATGAAATGCTTATGAAGATGATAATAACACTTACATTAGAATTTGTTTAATTGAATGTGTTGTCTTATATCAGTTTGCAATAATTCACATGTTGATCATTTGTTTACAGTGCCCATTTGAATGGTTCCACTACCCTTGTGTTGGAATCACTCAGCCACCCAAAGGGAAATGGTTTTGTCCTCAGTGTACTGCAGCTATGAAAAGAAGAGGGAAAAAAGAAAAATAATTTGATATATGTGCATGAATATAGTTATGTATGTTCAGAAAGATTGGCCAGATCTTTTGGAAGTTTATTCTGTGATAACTGTGTGTTTCTAGCTTTGCCGACTTGTGTGTCGACTGATTCTGGTTCTTTTTATCTTAACTAGTAGTAATGAGATGTACTGTACAGTGAGTATGATTGGTTTGACAGTGTGTAATTCATTTTTATTGTAGAATTGCAATGTTTTGAATAAATGCCATATCTTTTGTTGTGTTGATAAACAAAATAGAAGTATTGTGTGTTATTTTTAGTCTAAATTATAAGATACATGTAATAGATAAAAAGGAAAAAAATCGTTGTACAAAAATTTGTAGTTCAGAGAAATTCCTTTTTTCTTTTTAAATAGTTTTAATTTCACTTGCTGAAGAAACCACTTCAAGAGATACCTGAATGGATTATTAAACACGCCATTTTGTAAGGTTTGATCTGTCTTTCATCTTGGCCCTCTTGCATGGGCTAGTTTTTAAACCAGTCAGTAACCTATACAATCATCTTTGGTGATCAGATATCACTGGATATCATAGTAACTTGTACAATCATCTGTGGTGATCAGATATCATAGTAACCTGTACAATTACCTGTGGTGATCAGATATCACTGGATATCATAGTAACCTGTACAATCATCTGTGGTGCTCAGATATCATAGTAACCTGTACAATTACCTGTGGTGATCAGATATCATTGGATATCATAGTAACCTGTGCAATTACCGGTGGTGATCAGATATCAATGGAAGTCATGATTAGTAACCTATTTGATAACCTGTGGTGATCAGGTATCAATAGACGTCATGGTCAGTAGCTTATAAGATCACCTGTGATGATCAGATATCAATGGACGTCATGGACAGTAGCCTAATTGATAACCTGTGGTGATCAGGTATCAATGGACGTCATGGTCAGTAGCCTATAAGATCACCTATGATGATCAGATATCAATGGACGTGATGGTCGGTAGCCTGTGGTGATCGGATATCAGTAAATGTCAGAATAGCCTATACGATCACCTAAGTCAAATTAGTAATTGATACTAATTCTCTGCGCTATTATCGATCACACCAATTTTAATTAAGTGGCACTGCGAATTCAAAGTCACAAAGACGTTGTTTGTAGGGGTTTTTTATCATTACTTTTTTAACATAGAGAAAATTCCATATTTCTAGCGATCTTGAGTTGCTACTACGGTATGTTATCTCAAACAAATAATGAAACCAATACCTTAGTTAAGAGTATCTGTCGTCAGATGGCGATAGAGCATGCAGTTGTTGGAAACCATGTTGATCCATATTTGAGTTATTCTTATTTCTAACAATATTGAGCTGCTACTACTACCTTGCATTGCGTTATTAAACGCGTAACGAAACCAATTCATTAGTTCGAGTATTTATCGTTAGATGCCACTAGAGCATCCAGTTCATGAAAACTATAAAGTTGAGTTAACCTCATTTCCAGCAATGTTGAGCTACTACTGCCTTACATAACGCCAAAAAATAACGAAAAATCGATACATTAGTTAGAGTATGTGTCGTTAGGTAACGCTAGCTGATTAGTTGTTTGTTTTGTTTTTTTAGTGCAAAGCTATTTTAGGTAGATTATTTGTCGTTAGATTGCGCTAGTAGATTGTTGTTGAGTGCAAAACTATTTAATAGGCTATCTGTGCTCTGCCTACCACGGGTATCGAAACCCATTATTTAGCAAGTTTTGATATCTTAGTAACGTGCCATAGCGCTCTATATATAAAATATATCTTCATAGCAGTTTCAAGAAAATAGAACACGCTGATGACCTAAACAGGAAGTTTAAGAGAGAATAAATTATTCTTGTACACATACCTTGCAAAATAAAATATATCGTAGGCTCTTTTATCATTTTTCCAAAGCATTGTACTAAGGTGATTAGGGCGCTCGACTCGCAATCTTAGGGTCGCGGGTTCGAATCCCCGTCACACCAAACATGCTCGCCCTTTCAACCTTGGGGGCGTTATAATGTGACGGTGAATCCCACTATTCGTTGGTAAAAGAGTAGCCCAAGAGTTGGCGGTGGATGGTGATGACTAGCTGTCTTCCCTCTGTAGTCTTACACTGCTAAATTAGGGACGGCTAGCGCAGATAGCCCTCGTGTAGCTTTGCGCAAAATTCAAAACAAACCAAATTAAATATTTTAAAAAAATCAAATATTTTTTTTACACGGAGTGCTTCGAAGATGGGTTACCTTTAGTAGAATCTGAGTGTACAAATATTTTTATTTGTTAGCTTTATACCTTACACTATGGATCCACGCAGGCGTATAGTCACTTTGTTGGTGTCTGTTGGTCATGTCATGTTACTCTTGTCCAGTGTCTTTCAGAAGAAGGTTTCATGTGCTTCCAAATTCATCTTTCCACTTTAAGTTATGCTCTGTGTCACTACAAAGTTAAGTGGGTGTCATTTACACACTATAACGGAGAAGCCTTCCAGTATAAAAGCCGAAACGTCGTCCTATTTTCTTTTAACAGACAGTTGCAGTCCATTAAAAATTCTCAAAATTAATATTGTTATTTTATAAGCAGGTGGTGACGTAAATACGTGTTCTCATCTGTTGGGTACTACATACAAAGAGCGTGGGCATGTTATCCGGGTGGCATGATTGATATTATATTACAGAGGTACTGTAACGCGTAATTCCTCGCTGTGACTTCACCTCGAGTAAAAAAAAAAACCTGGTGATAGTCTGACGTACTCGGTGGAACCTTTATTTAAAAAGTAAACGCTGAGAATGAAAACTGTCATTTTAATTTCCTATTAACTTTGTTCTTATGTGAGAGGCCTCGTGGGAAAGAAGTAGATAAGATAATTCTTCGTATTTTACAGAGAGGGGAGGAGTAGGTTGGCATGTGGCATAATGGAAAATATATGGAATTACCATCACCAGATGCCGTGGGTTAAATTTTATATTTCTTTTTTTTTCTTTTTGGAATGATTTCTAAAACTGATACTTGTGACTTTTTCGCAACCATTATTTGTGAGAAATTAAACTTAGTTTTTATGCTTTAGCGCTGTATGCCTACTGATGTGAAACGTGCCTGATAATTTAGGTTTTATTGGTATTGCTAGTGATCAGAAAAATACCTTCAATTTAGGCTTAGGGCAGTATGCCTAGTGGTTAGAAAAACTTCTTACAATTTGGATTTTAGTATGTGTGTGTGTGGGTTATAATTAGCGATTACAAATGTACCAGATAGTTCCAATTATGTCAAAGTGATCTGTTTTACCAACTTCAGACTACGAGATAGAAATGGCACACAAAACCCACTGTATGCAACTGTTTTTCCTCTTCTGTAGTATTTGTTTGTTTGGAACTAAGCACAAAGCTACACAATGGGCTATCCATGCTCTGCCCACCACGGGTATCGAAACCCGGTTTCTAAAGTTGTAAGTCCGCAGACATACCGCTGTGCCACTGGGGGGCTCTTCTGTAGTAATCGAAGGTTGTTGGTTGAGAGACGGCAACGCAGAGTCTAGTAATAATGGTACCAGTAAAAATGAATTTAGTAATTATGGCACTGTTAATAATGGTACCAGTAAAAATGAATTTAGTAATTATGGCACTGTTAATAATGGTACCAGTAAAAATGAATTTAGTAATTATGGCACTGTTAATAATGGTACCAGTAAAAATGAATTTAGTAATTATGGCACTGTTAATAATGGTACCAGTAAAAATGAATTTAGTAATTATGGCACTGTTAATAATGATACCAGTAAAAATGAATTTAGTAATTATGGCACTGTTAATAATGGTACCAGTAAAAATGAATTTAGTAATTATGGCACTGTTAATAATAGTACCAGTAAAAATGAACTTAGTAATTATGGCACTGTTAATAATGGTACCATTAAAAATGAACTTAGTAATTATGGCACTGTTAATAATGGTACCCGTAAAAATGAACTTAGTGATTATGGCACTGTTAATAATGATACCAGTAAAAAATGAACTTAGTAATTATGGCACTGTTAATAATGATACCAGTAAAAAATGAACTTAGTAATTATGGCACTGTTAATAATAGTACCAGTAAAAATGAACTTAGTAATTATGGCACTGTTAATAATGGTACCAGTAAAAATGAATTTAGTAATTATGGTACTGTTAATAATGGTACCAGTAAAAATGAATTTAGTAATTATGGCACTGTTAATAATGGTACCCGTAAAAATGAATTTAGTAATTATGGCACTGTTAATAAGGATACCAGTAAAAATGAACTTAGTAATTATGGCACTGTTAATAATGGTACCAGTAAAAAATATAGCCGTTAAGAATCATGCCCGCTAAAATTACCCACGTAACCAAAGGGTTAAATATAAATTATTAATCGTTTCGGCACAAGCATCCAAGATAATGATATTGGTGTGTGATTAGCGGTTCAGAGTACACTGACAGTTGAGGTGACTATCAAAATGTTGTGAAAGCTGAAATATCAAATCAAATACTTGTCACCTATTGTACCACTCTGGTCTTACTTTACAGTACGGTGTCTTGAATGTGAAATATTAAATAGTGGCCAAGATAATCAAAAAAGGTAATTGAAAATGTAAATAAAAAAATTAAAATGTAAATAAATTCATCTACCTGTCCAGGAAGAGGCTGAACTTACCGGTAATTAGGGTGAGATATTGAGAGAAGGACAAAAAAAAATTTATTGTTGTCTTTTATAACGAAGACTTTCTTCATGTACCACAATACAAGAAGATTTTATTGTTGTCCTTTGTAACAGAGACTTTCTTCATGTACCACAATACAAAAAGATTTCATTGTTGTCCTTTATAACGGAGAACTTTCTTCATGTACCACAATACCAGAAGATTTTATTGTTGTCCTTTGTAACAGAGACTTTCTTCATGTACCACAATACAAAAAGATTTCATTGTTGTCCTTTATAACGGAGAACTTTCTTCATGTACCACAATACCAGAAGATTTTATTGTTGTCCTTTGTAACAGAGACTTTCTTCATGTACCACAATACAAAAAGATTTTATTGTTGTCCTTTATAACAGAGACTTTCTACATGTACCACAATACAAAAACATTTTATTGTTGTTCTTTATAACGAAGACATTACTTATATATAACAATACAAAACGTTTTTGCTCTTTATACATTGTAAATGTTTCGTCACACACAAAAATATCGTCTTTTATAGATTAATATCTTTTATGCCACCAAACGTCGTCATAATAACTATTGTTTCATTCTCGGGCTTCGTGCGCCATCTTATTTAAAAAAAATATTATTTTTGTATCGACTGTAATGTAGATTAAATCCTCAATGAAAAAAGGAAACGTTACATGGGCAATTATTTGATAAACGATATTAAAGAGAAATGTCAATGTAACTCAAGGGCAGGTGAGTTGGGAAACACATCCCTACATTTTCTCTAGCTGAGAGGGTATGTATGACAGGTTGATATCGCTGAAAGGGTATGTATGACAGGTTGATATCTTCATTGATGACATAATTATTTCTTCTATCCTCTTATTTGCAGACTCAAAATACGGAAGCCTGGTTAGCAGCTCACCCCTCAAGTCAGCTTTCGGGCAGTACACTCTGACTGACCTAATATGGAAAGACAGCATTCGTGTAGTAGTAATTATAGAATTACAAAATAATATTTTCTACCACATGTCCAGCAATGCGAAAATCATCTATCTTTTCTTCCTTTTTAAGCTGGTAATAAATACACCAGTTTAGTACTTAGTGGTGCAGAGAGAGAGATCGTGTGTTGTGGACCCGTCATTTCCGGCAGGGCGGACGTTGGGCACACAGTGCGACTTTCATCAACAGACTTGCTACAGACCGTTCATCTTTCTGCCGTTGTACAGTTATGGCGGTCGAAGGCATGCAGTTATGGCATTTCCTGGTTGGCTGTGCTGTCCTCGCTGCCCTTATTCCAGGTAAGTAGTGGCCCACGTGCCGATCCTGTGTTTTCTTTTGTATTACTCGCCATGTGAGTACATTTTTTTGTGTTGGAAGCGACAAAAATAATTTAAAAAAAAATCCTTTTCAGTGTGAAATATACAGTGTGAAAATAACACAAGTTCATCAATGTTTTGTATATAGGACTAAAATAACTTAACTAATAACGTGAAACACCTGCAACTGATGGTCCAACCTGAATCTAAGTGTTATAAAGTCAGCTTGGATTTAATTTTATCTACATATTACCAAGTTACGGTGAATCCACTTTTATCTAATATATCATCAAGTTATGGTAGATCCAATTTGATGTAATATCTAATCAAGTTACGGTGGATCCAATTTTATCTACTATATAATCAAGTTACGGTAGATCCAATTTTTCTAATATGTAATCAAGCTACAGTAGATCCAATTTTTCTAATATCTAATCAAGTTACGGTAGATTCAATTTTATCTAATATATTATCAAATTACGGTGGATCCAATGTTATCTAATATCTAATAAAGTTACATTGGATCCAATTTTATCTAATACGTCATCAAGTTACACTGAATCCTGTTCTAAGTATCATCAAGTTACACTGAATCCTGTTCTAAGTATCATCAAATTATGGTGGATCCTACCTAACCTAAGTATTATCGGATCAACAGGATCCTATTTTATCTAAGTATCTTAAAGTTATGGTGAATCCTACCTAATCTAATTATTATCTGGTCACTAGGATCCTGTTTTCTTTAAGTATCATCATGTTACGGTGGATTCTACATAACCTAAGTATTATAGGATTAGTGATATCCTGTTTTACCTAATTATCATCAATATATGGTGGATCCTACCTAACTTAAGTATTATCTGGTTACTAAGATCTATCTAAGTATCATCAAGTTATGGTGGGTCCTACCTAACCTAGGTATTATCTGATTAGTAGGAACCTGTTTTATCTAAGTATTGTCAGGATATGGCGGGTCCTACCTAACCTAGGTATTATCTGATCAGTAGGAACCTGTTTTATCTAAGTATTGTCAGGATATGGCGGGTCCTACCTAACCTAAGTATTATCTGGTTAGTAAGATCATGTTTTATCTAAGTATCATCAATTTATGGTGTATCCTACCTAACCTAGGTATTATCTGATCAGTAGGAACCTGTTTTATATAAGTATTTTCAGGATAAGGCGGGTCCTACCTAACCTAAGTATTATCTGGTTAGTAAGATCATGTTTTATCTAAGAATCATCAAGTTATGGTGTATCTTACCTAATCTAGGTATTATCTGATCAGTAGGAACCTATTTTATCTAAGTATTGTCAGGATATGGCGGGTCCTACCCAACCTGGTTATGGCGGGTCCTACCTAACCTAAGTATTATCTGGTTAGTAAGATCATG